TATGATCCCAGATTATGATGCATTGGATAATAGCTGTTATCATGGAATGGCATGTTCGGGTATGCTGGAGGTGGTTGTACAAAGTACGACTGCTGAAATGGAAAATACCCACCATCGCCGTGATGCACAGACTGAGAGGGTTGAGGTTGTAGGGAAGGTGATGGAACTACCCCCTTGCCTTTTTGATTCTCTCTCCCACTCAATGATGTATTATCAGCCATTACTAATTAAATAGAGAAAGTTAGATAATTGAAAGAAGTTGAACATGAATACATGAATTAAAAAAAAGAACGACATTAATGTAAATAGAGTTATTGACTACATGTGAATGAGCATAAATAGAAGAAAAATAAAAATCAAGTCTCTGTGGTTACACCATGATTATACTTATCACAATAGTCCACCCACATCGCCCAAGCAATGTCATCTCTGAGAGTCTTCCACTCATTTCTTGATTCAGTTTGCTCTCTTTGGGTTTGATTTTGAGTAAAATCAACTAAATTAGGGTCATTCTCGAATGCCTCCTCACCATCAATGTCTTCACTAATATCGTCATTGTTGAGTAGTTCATCACTGGGATCTACAGTTGTAATGAAATTATGGAGTACCGTGCATGCCAATACGATATCTACTTGTATATGAAAAGGATAATGCGGCTTAGCACATAAAATCTTGAAACGATTCTTCAATGTGCCAAATACAGATTCAATCTTAGACCTCAATGAAGAATGTCTTAGATTGAATAATTCCCTTCTATTCTTAGGTGTTTTGCCCGAATGTTCTTTCAAATGATATCGAACACCTCGGTATGGAGAGATGAAACCTGGCATAGTTGGGTACCCAGCATCACACAGATAGTATTTACCTACAATTTTATTAAGCAAAGGGTTAACTCAATTTTGAATATTAAAATTAATAAATTTTAAGTTAAGTCTTTATTTAATTACCATCATAGACTCTTAATCCATGTGGTTGTGGTCTAGACAATGCATCCTGAAGAATCCTATAATCATTTGCAGACCCCTCCCAACCTGCTAGAACATATGTAAACAACTTGTTTGGGGTGCAACATGCAAGCACATTCTGTGTAACACCTTTGCGCCCTCGAAAGCGTGCAACAAGATTAATCGGGAGCATTGCATCAACATGAGTCCCATCTATCATTCCAATGCAATCCTATAATACGTGTATCACACCTAAATTAAAATTAAACTTCCTTTGATTATACATTTAAATGTGCTTAAAGTGTAGATATACCTTGAAATAAGGGTAGTATAGCGGGTTGTTAACGATCTCTTGGGGAATGTCATTGGGGGCTTGTCTCATGTACCGTCCACGCAGGCAAATAATTGCTTGTAATACCTTGTTGAAATATCTACTAACTGTCTCCCCTGATCTTATAAAATGAGATCTGACAATCCTATTTTTAGATTTATGACCCAGAATGTTCAGTGTCATGATAAGTTGTTCTTCAACTGTTACATTCCTTGAGTCTTTTAGCAGACTATTGTTCCTCATTATAGTCACTAATTTAACAAAAGCACCACTCCGCATTCTAATATAATTCACGTAACTATCACTAAAACCATTATAAATTCGATAAATGTGCTCAATTCTAGCTCTCTCTCTTGTCTTTTTTTTTCCTTACTTGGACCACTACGAATTGATTTACGTCTTGCTTGCATTCTCCTTATAACAGTTATAATTATAATTAAAACGGATAGGGCAGCACCTTGAATCATATTAACAACACTTTGTTCATCGGAAAAATCACCATCATTATCCATCTACGATGAAAAAATCATTTTTTTGTTAGAAACTAAGTCAAATCGTTACAAGATCTGAACAAAGTACAAATTACTAATTACTAACATGGATTACCCCATATCTAAGCAACAAATGTTACAGTGACATAACAAATACTGCATATCTAAGCAACAAATATTACAGTAATAAAAAATGCTAATCCATTACAAATACTAATCAGTATGACTTTCTTTAAATCATTAAGGACTACAAAAACAAAAGGTGAATTTCAAAACATGAATACAAATAAAACTATATGTGGACACAAGATGCACCAGAAGACCGATAACGATAGCAATACAACTCTATATGTGATCCAAGTAGGTTATGACATTGGCATGATTTGATCGTACGATGTGATCCAAGTAGGTTATGTGATTGCTACTTCACGAATACAAATAAAACTATATGTGGACACAAGATGCACCAGAAGACCGATAATGATAGCAATACAACTCTATATGGGTATGCAGGCTCATAAATCTTTAAAAAATAGACTAACGATACTTCTAGTAAGGCAATAAGAAAATTAATGTGGACTTGTTTTAATGTTCACATATCTCAGGATGAACTTTTGAGGTTAGAAACATAAAAAAGAGTGTAATGTTTAGCATATCATGTAACATTTTGAATCTGCAGATCATCAGCTACAGGCATAGTCATATCTAGGACTTTAAAATCCTAAATAAGAAACTGGGTAAACTACTACATATATGTGAAGCATATAGGAAATAAAAAATAAAAAATAGTGGACCCATCAGTCATACATTTGATTTTATTGCTGAATACCATAGAGATCTGTGATATGTCATCAATATATTTAGGATCCTTCACAAGTTTTAGAATAAATCAAAGAAACATTTGATTTTATTGCTGAATACCATAGATCTATGCTATGTCATCAATATATTTAGGATCCTTTACAAGTTTCAGTATAAGTCAAAGAAACATCTGACACCTAATCAACGAGTATCAAACTATCTGAGTAGGTTATGCAACTGATACTGTTTAAGCCCCTTTCATTAAACTACATATGAGAAAAAGATCACAGATTATTGCACGGGATCCAAACTGTATTTTTTTTCTATATCATCATCATCATCAGGCAATGTGTGTAAGTACAGAATTGATCAAAGTTTCTTACGTCTAAATCAAATACAGTTAGAGGAGATGGGAACTCAGATAAGAACTCAGATGAGAACTCAGATCTACAAGAAGAGGAGATGGGAACAAACCAGTTGATAATTAATCTAACTATTCAGATAGAAATATTCCAAGATACAAATCCAACTATTCAGATAGCATGCACATAAAACTAAAATCTCCAAAAAATAATCAACTACAACGTGGAAATCTGAACAGGCTCCCAAATATCAAATACCCCTCCTCCAATTTCTCACAAAATTGATCTAAATCAATCTAAAAATCCAAAAAAATTAAAAAAAAAAGGGATTTTTACCTTGATTTTGGAAGCAACAGAGTCGGAAAGATCAGATCTGAAACGCGTCGGCACAAGATCAGAACCCCCCTCCCCCAATTTTTTCGAATACAGGGGCAAAGATAGCGGCGGGAGTTTCTGGCGGGAGGAGAGCAAAGGGGGTAACTATAGCGCAAGAAAGAAATCAACGACGAAACCAAAAATCCGACGTGGCGCTGGTTTTCGACGATTTCACTCCGATGGGGAGGGAAATGGGGGAGAGGAAAAAAGTCGAGGTGGCGGCGATTTCTGCTGTCGTTCCGCTATTTAGCCCTAGCGAAACAAAGCGGAGAAATGAAAAGTTAGGAAACTGCTCACCCGACGTGGAGGGTTAAATAGAGGACGTGGAGGGGGTTTTTTTAGTTTTCCACGCTTATATTAGCGAACCAAACACGCCCTTATTGGAAACCATCAAATTACCGACTTAGAGAATATTAAGAGCCTTTATTGGAAATTTATGAAGCCAAAGTTCCTTGGATATTGGAGGAAATAACCAATAAAAAAACCATTGTACCATAATATTCTTAATTAGTAAGCTTTTTGTCGTCAACCTTTTCATCCCAAATAGGATATGAATTAGTGGATGGAGCAAACATGCTTTGTTAGAGTATAAAACTATAATCCTCAGTCAATTGTTGTCACGGCTTTGAAGTTTTTATTTGTATACTTTTGACTAGTAATAACAGAAATATGATTGATCTTAACTATTCCTATCAAAATTTCATTGTTAGGGATAGGGAGGTTATGAGATAGATGTGGAACATGTACCTTAGTATCTGAATCTAAATTGATGATATTTGTTTGACTAATTTGTTATAATATCCAATTTATACACAAAAATAGTATATGAATTAAGACAAATACTATCTAAACAATATTTTAATCTGTCAGAAGAATATCAATATATCATAGAAGAAATTTAAAAGATAGCAAGTTCTACATGTGCTCATCAAAACTAATAATTACCACAAAAATCGTAGAATTTAGGGAATGATTTATATCGAGTAAGGCTTTCTGGCTCAAAAGCGGAAGGAAGAGCAGGCTTTAGTGGGCCAACTAGAAAGGCAGCCTATGGGCTGTAGGCTGTACATCAATAGTTCAGACCTCTGTTTGTTAAGTGTTTAACTATGTAGTGTTACCGTCGCTATCATCAAAATAAAGTAAAATAAAATGCTACTGTTGAACTCTTCAAATAGCACGTTTAATTTTATAACACAATATAATTTTAGCTCATCAACACACACAAAACAGAGAACTGTTATTGCTCTTATTTAATCAAAGAATAGCGATAAATTTTACACAATAAAATGGTAACTGCGGTTCTACGCAAAAAGAAAAATAATTACAAAAATATCACTCTGTCAGAGAGTCCCGTTGAGAAAGAAAATCTCAAAGATCGGTGTGGTTAAGTGGGAAAAGAGTTCAGAGGGGTTGAGCACAAAACCCTTCAAAGTTCAGAGGAGTTACGTGAAATTAACCAAACGAATGAAATGGGATTACAAAATATCTACCTTGGATCCTATTATCCTGTGGCAATTATTAGAGCGGTACATTACATTTAACCAAAAAATAAAAAAAAAGGTTGCACAAAGATCGAACGTTGAGCAACGGTCGAATGTCCCGTTCTGTCCTTTTCTCAGAGGCACGAGAAGATCCTTCTGAACTCAAATTAATTCAATCCAAGCAAAGGCTCCCTCCAACTTCTATTTAAATCTTGTCCCAAGCCGATCTCAAACAAACCCCAACTCCAGCTGAGCCACCTTCATTCAATCTTAAGGTCTGAAATTTAATAGAAAAAAAATAATAAGAAGAAACTCAAAAGAGAAGAAATGGGTCTAGAAATTGTGATCTCCCTCCCTCTGATATTGTTCGCCATTTTTCTCGGTTTCGGTTGCTTCTTGTTCGGGAGGGCGAAGGGGAGGCAGGACATGAGGACCGGGGTCGGCTCTCAGATCTACGGCGCGCCCGTGCCCCCTCCGGCGGTGGTCAGAGAGGCCGGTCAGTCTCCTGACGATATGAAGAAGCAAGGACCTGATAACGTTTGAAAACGTGTCGAGTTCTTGAGTACCAAAATGTGTTCATTTCATTTGTTGTATCTTGTTGGTTAGTCGTTTATCATCGTTTTATTATGAGAAATATAAAACTTTGGTTGTTGATTTCATGAGTGAACTGTAGAATCTTTTTCAGATTTACCATACAAATTCTTTTTTTTTTTGTTGGAAAAAACGAATTGAGAAAATGCGATCATCTTAATATTGAACGACAGAAGATGCTTTGAGAAAACATTCAGAAGTTTTCGCTATATCACATTAACTTTATATCAAGCATTATGTGTCACTGTGTCGGTCCCCTTCTGAATTGCTCATTACAAGTATTCAGGCTGCTTTTAATTGTTCTTTGCCAGCTGAGGGGAACTACGTGATGGGAAAGCTTTATCTAAAATTCCTTTTCTTATATCTGGTTCCTTCGTGTTTAAGCCTTGATCTGCATCGTTTTCTTCTAAGAAAGCAAAACTTTCTCTTTTTTCATGGTTTATGCTGTCCAATCAAATGGCAACGTTGGTCAAAACGTATCTCAAATCTAGATCAAACACGTCCTCGTTTTTTATTAGTGATTTTTGAATAGATGGTACTCACCATAGTAACATGTTTTGCATTACGTAGCGGGTCGTTGTTCGAATTTAATTATGCAATTCGAGACTTTAAAATTTTGAATTCGACAGTGGTAGCTTGCTCCGCAAGTTCGTTATAGGATACCTTGTAATTTTTTTGGGTACACTTATTATTTTTCAAAGTGCATAGTAGAAAATTAGAAACTAGAAAACTAATTATGAATTTCGATATTTTTTTCATACAAAATACTTCAATACTTCATTTTTATAGTTTTTGAATGTATAAAAATTAAAATATTAAATATTAGACAACCTCTTAATAATTTTTTTTTTCTCTATTTTGCAACTTTCTTCCCCTTAATATCAAGTGCATCTTCTGCTAGTTCTGAGTCCAAACAATTCCATCTAACTTACTTGAAGAGTACTCCAAGTTATCATTATTGGGATCCATATCCCATCCTTTATATAGACCAACTTTGTAATTCTCACCAAATCGTGACATGAGGCGAATGTTTGAATGGATGAATACTAACTCATCCGCCCTTTTACTGTTCAATCTACTCCTTTTCACACAACGTATGTGATAAGTACTCCAATTTCTCTTAGCTGAAGTGCTATTAATAGGCCGAGACAAAATCTTCTTAGCAACATCAATTAAATAAATAACAATTTAGAATTAGTTATTAACTTTGGATAACTTCTATTTACTGAAGGAATACTTTCAATAATATTATTGAAACATATTAAAAAATCCAAGCGCATGTGCATAAAAACAGACTTGTAAATCAACTTTGGTCCCCCTCATACTTAATAAGCGGGTACGCTAATTTTGAGGAAGTAATTCGTGTATCGGAGAGAATCGGTTCGTAAATGTGCTGGGAATCGGTTCGCATGAACTGTTCAACAGTTCGAGGAGGGGTCCAGGGAATCGTGCAACTATGGTTCTCACTATTTCCATTGCTTAATAGCTTATTTTAGCATGTCACTCTATTTCAGTAAATGCACTTTCAAGAGATAAACTAATGATGAGATTCATCATGCTAGTCATATTGGAGCAGGCTTGTCATGTTAATTTTATTTTTTGGTAGCTTATTTCGCTAAATGAGCTGACATATCCTACTCAGTATTCATGTAGGTGTGCATTACTTACCATTGATTATCCTACCTCAGACTAACTTTAACCATTGATTATCCCCTACTAAATTAACTACGATCATCAAATTGTAAGAGTACTATGTAGTCGCAATATACATATCATGTTAAAAAGAACATGCAATTAGCTCACTTTCACACTGTTGAATGTTTGTAGAGAAAGAGAAGGGAAAAAGAAAGCAATTCCACCGACTGTTGTATTGCCTTCTAGAAGAGAATAGCGCAAAGAATTGAACAAACTAGAGATTTGTCTATTATATTCAAAGGCCCAACTTTACTTATCATATCTAGTGTTAATCTTAACTTTAGTATCAAAATTCCACTAGTAAATAATAGCATCTCCATCCAGGTTCTCACATCTTCCCTTCTAGCTGGCTCTCTCGAGAGCACCTTTTCCACTTTCCACCCTGACATTCTTTTTTTTTGTCAGATTCCTTATTCCCTTCAGAGATTTAAATACCCATCAACTCCTCCTGTTTTCTACGCACAAGCAGTAGTAAGAAAAATATTGCAAAATATATTGAGTAAATATATTGAGTAATTAGAAATGGCCCTTGTTATAGTTGTTTCCATTCCTTTAGTTATCTTTGCTCTTTTGCTCGGTGGTGGCTGCTATTTGCTTGGAAGATCAAGAGGGAGATACTAGTCCATCAAATGAGAGTGTGGATGGTTGTGATTATTAGTTTAGTTTTTGTGTGAATTTATTTCTTGAATTTTCTTTTTGTTGAGTTATTATGACGACTACTTCGTGTGAACTTTTAGTTCTTGTATTTTCTTCATACCTGTTTCTCTTTCCTTAAGTGAGGTTTGAGTGCTTTGAGTTGCTAGTTTCTATCCGTAACGTGATAAAATGTATGCTATAATCACAGGTGAGTTGGCAATAAAATAACAATATAATAACAATATGTTTTGATGGTGTTAAACTCTTTTGAATTTAGTGCTTTATGCTTCGCAGATGCTCGTCTCTATAGCTCCAGTTTCTATTGTAGTCAATAATTAATTTTTTTTCCCTTTCCTTTTTTCTTATTTCTTTTTAAGGAAGTGCTTTAGATAAATGGTTTATGTTGAGTTATCGTTCCACATCATATGATCATAGTTTTCATTTCAAAAGTACCAAAGTATCTCGCACACGGGAATTTCGAAGGATGTTGCGTATTGTTCTTATTGGTTTCCCAATTTCTTAATTCCAAATAAGAAGGTAACCCAAAATAATCAAACGACCAAGATCTGATGACTCCATTCGACATAATCGGCACAGCAAAGAATCGTGACTTATTGCACTAAAAAAATGAAGACGGTAGCTACGAATGAATCAATTTGTTCCCTCGCATTCCTAATCCAGTCACAAAGAAAACACCATCGAACAATTTTTCAAAACAGCCCCATTTAAATTTTTTATTTTTTAAATCGATCTAATTTTTTTTATTTACCAAAACCGACCCGTTTTTTTGATTAGCAGTCTAATCACCTTCCTAAACAGTCGGGGTTGCCAACCCCGACTATTTAGGACATAAATTTTTAGGGTTTAAGGCTTCTAATGGGTTGCCAACCCCGACTATTTAGGACATAAATTTTTAGGGTTTAAGGCTTCTAATTGGGGTTTAACACCCTCCTAAATAGTCGGGGTTGGCAACCCCGACTGTTTAGGAGGGTGATTAGGCTGCTAATCAAAAAACGGTTCGGTTTTGATAAATAAAAAAAAAGGGTCGACTTTAAAAATAAAAAAAATTGAATGGAGCTATTTTGAAAAATTGTTCAAACACCATCTAATATCCATATACCACACCAAAATCTTTATTCAAATCAATAAAACTTCCCCTACCCAAAAGAAACCCCAGCAGCAGAACAGATCATTCTGCGATTCAAGAATCCCCCAAAAAAAAAAAAAATCCCCCCAGTTTCATTAAAACCCTAATCAGTGGCTGCACATCACAACCCTGGTGAGCGCCAAAACCCCAACAGAAGCCCCGAACAAGACCAACATCACCAAATCCCTCGCCGACCATTTCCTGACCGCATCTCCTCCCTTCATCGTCTCCACCCTCAAGCTCTTCGCCCTCCTCAACGCATCCACCTCCTTCAGCAAATCGAACTCCGTCCCTTTCCTCTTCAACTCCTCCACGCACTTGAACAAAAGAAGGCCGTCTTCCTTTTCCCTCTCGAGAAGCTTCTCGATATGAGCCTCGGTGTCGGTCTTGTATCGGATGGCCCAGAGAATGGCCATGGAGATGGCGACGGAGCAGAGGCAGGGGATCCAAGAACGGCGGCAAGCTGAAGGAGAGGATGAGGAGGAGAGGAGGAGGAGGAGGATGACGGAGTGGAATATGAAGAAGGAGCAGTAGAGGGTTATGATTTCTCTTCGGACTGCGTCCATTCTTGATTCTTTGAGGGAGATTCGTCGGGCGATGAGGGTCTCTTCGTTCAGCCATTGCTTGAGGAGGAGCTTGTGGGTTGGGCTCTCGGCGATTTGGGTTAGCGGGTGGACGGCGGAGGAAGAGGACATAACTAAGGTTTTAGAGAGAGAAAGTAAGTTGAGAGAGAGATGAGTGAGGGATGAAACAGAGGAAGGAGGGTTTTGAAAAGGGAAAGGGCGGATTTTCGTAACGGTCGGATTCGGGGGGATTCTGTAACGGTCGGATTTTGTGGGGAACTGTTGAAAGGGGTTTGGAGATTGGGGCTCGATTTGGGAGGAATTACGGAGATGCCACTGACGGTGTGATTTTTAATTTTTTAAAGGATGTAGAAAATTTGGGGAAGTGAAGTTTTCGGTGACCCTATTAATGAAGGCGCGAGCTTACAGCCTTTTGTTACGCTCTTGAAGCGTCCAGAGGCCACTGATTTTTCTTAAAATTAGCGGACTTCGAAATTTTGAGCATTGATCCAAGAAAAAGAATTTCCTATAATGCACAGATAATAATATGGACATAATCAATAGAATACTCTCTCTTCTCCTAATAATCTCTGGCAGATTTTTTTATTTTCTGGGGTTAGTTGTTCCTTCAAATTACCCTTATATATACAAACTTCACTTCAAATGATTTAGGTTGAACCGTATTTATTCGATTCAATCGTTAAGGTTCAATGTGGAATCCTTGAAGCAGCATTAAGCATGTGATTACGTCAAATGAAGTGATCCCACTATTTCTGTCAAATTGGGACCTTCACCAAGACAAGCTAACGAACCCGTCTAATTTGCAAATAAAGTCTCAAATAACTTTCATTTTAACTAAGCCCCTCGGATGGACGTATGCCATCCCTCAACAAATAATTTGCAACCGAGTACTATGATTGATATAATAATACAACAAATTACATATAGCAATATTGTGAACATTACAAAACACACATCCTGTGTATTGAGTCGGAAACGGCAGCTATCTGTTTAACCTCTCCATACCGACGCACAGCGAGAAATATTGATTTCCGGCACAACTCGGTATACAGGAGGACCACCATTTGGCTCAGGGGAGCTATGAAGCTGGTGAGATAAAAGAATGTAACTGAAGGATAATCAAAAACTAATTATCTCTTCTCCTTTTTCTTTTAATTAATTTTTTCCTTTGTACAATCTCGCACAGCGCCAGAGCTAGGGCATCTCCTCAGAATCCAGGCCAGGACAATGGTGATGGGTGATCCCTTCACAATAGATTAATAAGTGGGTCCTCTTCATGCTGCGGATTTTGCAATGCAAGTATATGTTTTTTGAAAGAAGCCGCTGCGTCCTCCCTTTCCTCTTCTTCCCCGAGCTTATTATAGGTCACAGACATCAAGTAATATGCTTCCGCAGCCATCTCATGGTACTGTATGCCAACGTTACCCGTTAGAGGCTAAACTATGAAAAGCATTAGACTTCATGTTTAACTACACTGCATCACAGTTTCAAGACTTGTAGGCTTGTAGCTGGCATGCTCATGACAGTTATAACGGCAAAGATGTGACTGTAGGATGAACAAATGTTTAAATTTGACTCACCTCTAAAGTTTCCAACTCCTCGGCAGCTTGCTCGAGTGGATCTAACACACTGTAAGGATCTTCAAAAACTGAAACGAAAGCAAGTGAAATCTATTACTAAAAAAATGAGGGCTATAGTAGAATATATGCAGATCAGCTGGATAATTAGACGATAATGGCGTAAACAAGTACAGATGGCTATTTTTGCAGTATATTAAGGGCTTCTGCTTGCTATCCTAAAAAATAACAAACAATTTGATTATACATCGTTTATGGAGTTGATCCACTCTCGTGGAATCAGAAAGCAAACTTTAGTCAGCAAAATAAATAAAGAAATCATTTGAAAATGGTAACCAAAGGTCATCTATTTGAACAGAAAATGATAGAAATGAAACTTCACCATAAAATGACTCCAAAGGAGTCAGATAAGAAGTGAAAAACAATTACTTGAAAAGTTTGGATCTGATAAGTGGCACTTTGCAAGTGTGATATTTGCACGTGCACGGAGTTCTAGTCCACCATGACCCAGAATTAGCGGAAAAGTTCCATGTGCATAGAAAAAATCTAATGCTCTCTTCACATGGTTTGACCCGAGAGACAGCCACAGCTCGCCAAGCGTAAGGGCAACAGATGCTCCAAGCAAATCTAAGTTGAACGACTGGCAAAATGACAGACTGGCTAGTGCATAAGGGAGAGCTAGAACAGCATTGCCTGATTTCTGCCAAAGGAAAAACATACGAGAATATTACCTTTTAAATTATAGTCTATCTAATTGGCCCCCAAGAATTGAGAAATAGACTTCTTGTCAATTGTTTTATGTGTTATATGACACCAAAGAAAAGAAGGAAAATACCAACAGGTCCAATCGAGATTACAACAGGTCCAATCGAGATTACCTTGTGTATCTCCGCAAGCAAGAGAAGAACTGTCGCATTCTCAACCTGCAAATTGAAATTGTAGCATGTGCAGAAGAGAGAGTGTGCAACATCTGCAGCCTGAAAGCATGCTTATTTAGCAAACTGGTTAAAATATTTGCATATACCATATTTCTTCAATGATAATAATTACACTCTTTAAGAAAAACACAAAATGGGCTGATCATATACAAATCAACTTTGCAGGAACTTCAGAGCCAAAATCAAGCAAGTTTAACCATATATTTTGTAACATGTACAGACAGTGATAGAACAAAGATATTATATAACCTTAAATTTAGTGCAGATATCCCTGCATGTATGTGAAACATAAACAAGAATAGCATTCATTTTTTAGAATTCATCGAACCACGAGTGTCCAACTTTCAATACAGTCAAATCACGAGAAAAAAGGTTGGGTTGGTTTTGTTTCTAATTAGTGTTTTTGTGTGTGTGTGTGTGTGGGGGGGGGGGGGGGCAGGGAGGAGCAGCAATAAAACATTTTTCCTTTTTTTTATATTTGCATTGAATCTCCGTAGGAAGATGGTTTTAGTAGTACAAGATGTTTTCTCCTTTGTGCTCTCTTCCTCCTCTCTCTTGATAATTCTTTAACAGATGGTTTCTAAGGTTTTCTAGGCTAGGATTTCTTATCCCCTGGTGGGAGGCTTTTTCCAACTTCAAAGTTGAAGGAAGGTTTTCTTTGGAGGCTATGTGCTTGCTAGTTTTTCTGGCCTTACAATCCAGATTCCTTTATTTAGATGGATCGTTCCCTTTCCTTCGCTTCGTCGTTAGGACTACTAATTCTACTGGGTTACAATGTAAAAGTCTTTAACAGCATTCCTCTAAAAAAAATCCTAAAAAGGCCTCCTAAATTCATACTCAAAACCAATTCAGATTAGATGTGGATAGATTTACACCTGTCACCCGTTCATTACGTAACTCCTTCATGCCTTACCATTTTGCACAAACTTGAACTCATTTTGAAGCTAATGAGACGAACTTTGATTGTAGTTTCAGTATAGATTTTTCACTTAATTCTCTTCAGTACTCTGTAACATTCATATAGCATTATAATCTTAGTGTTCATTTCACATAGGGCATTACCCATCTAAAATAGATCTAGCAAGCACAGAAACATATGTAATATGCTGGGAACATTTTAATCGAAAGAAAAGATGGAAATTAAAAGCAAATATAACATCTCTCAATAAAGAATACTCCACCTACCAACACTGAACCAAATAAGTCATAAAGAGAACAAATGCAGGAAACTCCATAGCGTCGTGAATAATGTTAGGTGACAAAGGGTATGTACTGTTGATGAGAGGCGTATGTTTAGACTCAGTAACTCACAAGCATGAAGCACCATAGGATTTTTCCTTTAAGGCCCATCGGCTTACAGCATGAAGGGAAAGGATTGGAGGGATGGACAACTCCAATGAAGGGACAGGACAAACATACCCATATTGTCAATGACGAATTATTCAAAAATAAAAGGTGTATACCTGGTCAAATTGGTTGGCAGCTAATAGAGTACGAGCATGCCGGATGCTTGCTTCTGTTTTGATCTCCATGTCCACTCCACTTACAGGTGAAGCTAGCACCCCAAACTTGTCACATACTTGCTGGGCAAGTTTCAGTTGTCCTCTGTATCAGTCATCTTGTTGGTCTGTTATCCTACATACTTACTAAACGCATAAGAAACTAATAATAAGTCCTTCAGGAACTAACCGATGTAAAGCACGCTCATGCAGTAACTGTAGCCTGAGAAGCTGCATGCGTTTGTTTGATTCTGGAGAAAACTTTGCTTCTGCGAGCTCAAGTGCTTTGAAGGCTTCTGCGGAAAACATATATAATATGGTAACATCTATCAGGAATCTCATGATATGAAGGACACTGCAAAGGTATAGTATTTAGTTTTAGGAGCTCAGAATGCAGCCAGATAAAATTACAAGTTTAGCAACCTGCATCTCATGATCATGCATGCAAATTCTAAAAGGGGATAGGACTCCTCGTGCAAAAAAAAAGTATTCGAACTTCATGGTTTAGAAAGCCAAAAACAGCAGATGAGGTGTAATGACAATGTAACTCTACTTACATGTCTTAGTGAGGGGGAGGCGGCGGGGGGGCGGGCGAGGAACGCACCCTTGGGATCGGATGACCCGGCGGGCTCATGGGGCATGCAGGGGTCCGGCTGAAGGCTGCTCTCATAATCTGCAAGGAGAGCCTGGGTCCACTATCCGAACGCCACGGCGGCGGTCCTCGCCTCCCTACGCAGGATCGCGAGCGGGATGCAAAGTAAAACCTTTTCTGCTACTCCTTTGATGACATATCCTCCCTTCTCCCTGCTCTCGTAATTGGTGTCTTTATTGTAGCAGTAACTCATATCTATAATTCACTTCCTATCCTGAAGTGATGGCAACAGAGGTACTAGGAGACCTCCAGGCTACTCAGCATGCACCTAACTGCCTTTCCAATATCAACACTTCTGCAATCATGGTTACTATCTAATAATAATTGCTAGCTCCCAATCACCTTGAGCGGCATAAGATAGCAAAAAAAGTCTGACATTTCTGGTAAGAACAAATTGAATACATAAGTTAAACATCAATAACATCACGGATTGGATCTCAAGGTTTGAGGTCATAATCTAGTTCTTAGAATGACTGGTGGCAATTCTAACAATCACCTTGATCAATGCAAAAGCCATGGCTATAACAGTCTTGCACTTAACAACAAAATCACCATAGATCTAATAGAGCAATCAAATTCTCATATCTGATGCCCTAGTAGCCAAATACCCCACTGCCAATGTCAAAACATAATTAAATATTGAGTCCAATAAGGAGGATAGTTTAAACATATATAATTAAGTATATGGCTAAATAAAAAGAATATAACGCAGGTACTGAACCAATTCTTTATTTGCAATTAACTTATACTATCAGCTGACCTTTGTATCCTTTAAAGACTGCTAAATGTTTGATAAGCTTGGCATATCCCAGTGATAGGTCAGATGAGCTGAAACAATGGAAGTCATATCAAATTATTTGAGGCATTCAGAAAATTCAAAGTAGTGAATTTGTAAGGGGAAAACATAACCAACATCTCTTACCTAGCAGCATCAGCAAAGCAGGTCACATGAACCAATGAATTTATTCGAACTAGTGGAGCACTGAAAACAGGTACAAACTGTAAGCAAAGGTATGGATTTGACTACAGTTTCAGCAGTAGTATAAATAGCACAGAAAATTAAAATTTCATATGAATAAAAAATCACGATATTATAGAAGATAAAAAAATACTGTCGTGTCTATAATCAAAATACAAAAATTACCTAGCCCAAATGCTTAAATTTAGCGGCGACATACCTTCCATATAGCTCCCAGGAAGTTGCTCTGAGCAAATATGATGAACCGGCTAATCGCAAAACAGAAGCAGGAATTGGATTTGGCTGGGCGCCAAAGTGAAATACGTCGTAATCATTAGCAAAAGAGCGCTTTGCTTTCTGCGAGTTTGTGCACGACAGACTAGTAGCAGCTGCAAGGTTTTTAAGCCATGATGTACTAAAAGAGCCATCATCATTTGGCTGCGATAAACCATCTGATCCGATTTCACTTAGCACATGAGAACTTAACCTCAATTCCTGTCATTATAAAAGGAAGATTTTGTAAAGTTTCTTCCAAAGTATATATTTAAATAATAAGAAAAACATGATGGTACCATACTATTACAGTCAGTGTAGTAATATCTTACCTTACAAACATTACCAGGCCATGTTCTGAGTATCGTGGTAGTTTTTGGACCAAATGAAATGAGTGGTCTTTCCACATGCTGAATATAAATCAATTTCAAGGTACAAGGTAAGCACCATATACATAAACAATAAAAAATGAAGATACGAATAAGTAATTCAGTTAAAAGCATGCCACTACACATTCGTCAACAAGAGGCTAAGAAAAGAACCTTAACACTACTAAGCAATGTTATGCTGCTGTCAATTTAAGTTCAAACGAACTTTTTCCAGCTACAATGTTCCAGCGCTTGTGAGCATTCGCATTCCTACAGTTGCTACAAATTCTACCAGATTTGAACTATTGCTACAAATTTTATATTTCCCCATCTATCAAACTCATTAATATCTACGATTCTACTATTAGGTTTAAAGGAATGAGGATCAAAATATCACATTACCATAACCAGTATACAATAAGGATCTTCCAATCTGTTTAAGAATGGCTAGATGAATCATTTGCAAGGGCTTTATATTTCTTTTAGGTTAGGATACCATATTCAATCACCTGTTATTTCAATCATTTACATTGTCTTCTGCACCTAGTTCTGGCCTCTCTTTCAGAAGTGATTCTTTCACTTTCCAAACTAGTACACTAATTGGTCTCCACTGCAATCTCCAAAAAACTCAAATCCCAAACAATCCCTTTACCATTCAGTTGAAGATACTTGTAGCTGCTTACAAATTCAACCACTTTCTTAGTATGTACCTCATATTTTATTGTTGTTCATCCATCTCAACACTTTCAGTAATACTTTACGGGCATTTCTTGTCTTATTTTGAAGCAGGAACAGGGAAATTCAACCTTCACTTAAGCAAATTAGTTTGAGTGCATATTCCATTTCAACCAAGTGGTTCAAGAGCAAGGTCTGAAATATCGTACATCGGGGAAACTTCAGGCAGCCAAAATTCATATAGGATTGCAGACAACGAGGATTATATCGGGGGGATATGTAATAAATATTGAAGAGCCATATTGGATGATGTGTATATATAATATATTGTCATAAATTGTCATATAAACATACTTAATAAAATTCCAGCATATAAAAATGTTAAAATACATGTTTAGGATGACTAACCAATGGT